CTGGTCCTGTAGGCTGGAGATCCCTGCTTATGGCTGAGATGCTACTCTTCTCAAGGGGATCCAACTGGCCATTTAAATATCCCTCTGGCACTGCCGCCCTTGGGCGTCCAGCATGCCTTCTCGAATCTCTACTGCACTCCTTACCAGTTAGGTTGTGCTAATGCTGATTCTTCTGTCTGTCCAAGGTTATAAGTCTCCTCTCTCGCTATTGTTCAGTTGATTGTTCCAGGTGATTTCTCCACACTTTAGTTGTAATTCCAGACTGATCCTGGGAGGAGGTCAGTGTGACTTCCACTCACTCCTCTGCTATCTTGATTCTTCGAATTTTTATACTTTTTATTGCTGTTATGAATGGTACTTTTTTAGGTTGTCATTGCTGGTATTGAGGATCACAATTGATTTTTGCTTTTTCATCTTAACTTCAAGCTTGCAAGTTTTCTTATTAGTGTTGGTGGTTTGTCAAGTGTATCTCTTAGATTCTCTTTCATCTGTGTATAGAGTTTAGTTTCTTCTATTCCATTTATACCTCTTTTTTTGTTTGTTTGTTTTTTTTGCACTGACCAGACTTCCAACTACTATGCTGAATATTCAGTGTTATGGCAGTATCATTGTCCTGCTTCCACATAACATTCTTATTTTAACTTGTGTTAATTTTTAACTTGGCAAATGTGTTTTTGTACTGTTTCCAATTGATGAGGAGTCCTTAAAATAGACAGTTTGTACTAAAATTATCTGTATATCCAGTAGCATCTAGAATAGTGCTCAGTTATAGCATGTTTTCAGTACATATTTACTGAATTAATGAATGAATCTGGGCGTTTACGTGTCATTTCATTTAACTTTTTTTGGAATGTTTTTGTTACCATGATGAAAGTGAAAAGTGTTTTCATGTTTTATGCAGTTATATATATATATCATAGTATTCTTTTTTCTCTTTTTCTAATTTTATCATTCCTTATTTTCAATTACAATTGACATACATTATTATATTAGTTTCAGATGTACACCCTGGAGATTAGACATTGCATAATGTATTAAGTGACTGTTCTGATAAACCTAACACCCATACAACACCATACATAGTTATTAGAATATTATTGACTATAATTCCTATGCTGTACTTTACATCCCCTTGACTGGTCTATAACAACCAATTTTTACTTCTTAATCATTTCACCTTTTTCAGCTATCCCAAATCTCCCTCCTCTCTGGCAACCATCAAAACGTTCTCTGCATCTATGAGTTTGTTTCTTTTCTGCTTGTTTGTTTTGTTTTTTAGATTCTATTCTGGATAGATATGCATTTATTTGCCATTTTATTGTTCATTTTTTCAATCTTTTTTTTTTTCTTATAACATAAGGCCCTTTAACATTTTATACAATATAGGTTTGGGGTTGATAAACTCTTTTAGCTTTTTCTTGTTCGGGAAGCTCCATACCTGTCCTTTGATTCTAAATGATAGCTTTGCTGAGTAGAGCAATCTTGGTTGTAGGTCCTTACTTTTCGTCACTTTGAATATTTCTTGCCAGCCCTTCTTGTCTGAAAAGTTTCTTTTGAGAAATCAGCTGACAGTCTTTTGGGAGCTCCCTTGCAGGTAACTAACTGCTTTTCTCTTGCTGCATTTAAGATGCTCTCTTTCTTTTTAACCTTTGCATTTTAATTATGATGTGTCTTGTTGTGGGCCTGTTTGAGTTCATCTTGTTTGGGACTCTCTGTACTTCCTGGACTTCTAAGTCTGTTTCCTTCACTGGGTTAAGGAAGTTTTCTGTCATCATATTTTAAATAGGTTTTTCAATATTTTGCTCTCTTTCTTCTCCTTCCAGCACCCCCATGATACAAATGTTGGTATGCTTTAAGTTGTCCAAGAGGCTCCTTACACTATCCTCCTTTTTTTGGATTCTTTTTCTTTTTGTTGTTCTGATTGGGTGTTTCTGTTTCTTAATATTCCAAATTGTTGATTTGATTCTCAGCTTCATCTACTCTGCTGTTGATTCCCTGTAATTATTTTTCATTTCAGTTAGTGTATCCTTCATTTCTGATTGGTCATTTTTTATCTTGTTGAGGTTTTCACTAAGTTCATTGAGCATCCTTATGACTGGTGTTTTGAACTCTGCATCCAATAGATTGTTTATCTCCATTTTGTTCAGTTCTTTTTCTGGAGTTTTGTTCTGTTCTTTCATTTGGGCCATGTTTCTTTGTCTCCTTATTTTGGCAGCCCCTCCCCTTCTCCACATTTGTTTCTATGTATTAGGTAGAGCTGCTACATCTCCCAAGCTTGGTAGAGTGGCCTAATATAGTAGGTGTCCTGTAGGGTCCAGTGTCACAGTCTCCCTAATTACCCAAGCTGAGCACTAGAGGTGCATCCCCCTTGTGGACTGTGTACACCCTGTTCTTGTATTTGAGCCTTGATTGCTGTTGGCAGGTCAGTAGGAGGTATTGGCCTCCAGGCTGATCAACTAGCTGCAAGAACTGCTTGTGACACTTACCATGGACCCCTGACCACTGTGGAGAATCAGCTGTGCAGGGTTCCACGCCACAAAGCAGGACTTACTTTAGCAGAGCTCTGATGGCCACTGAGCCCGCCCTTTGAGTATATCACTTGTAGAGGTGGTTGGGTGGTGGTGCTTCGACTTGGTCTGAAGCTATCCACTGGGTGCGCTGGCTCTGGGACCTCCTGGGGGGTGCTGGCCAAGGTCAGCCACTGCTTGTGTTCTGCCTGGGGACACCCAGCATGAGCTACGAAGCAATCTGCAGATGGCTGTTACTTGTGCTTGGCTTGAAGATGCCCAGATGAGGCCAAGCGGTGAACTAAGACTCGCTACTGCTAGTGTCTGGCCTGGGGCCTCTTGGCAAGAGGTGCAGGGATCACTGAGGCCAGATGCTGCTTATTTGAGGATTTTAGGAAAATCTGAAGCATGAGTCCAAATAGGCTCTTCAAATGGAAAAGCCACTAGAAATAGCTTAGGTGGGCCTGAAAGTTGGGTGGGGCAGGACCTCAAGGAATGACCAGGGTAGGGCAAACAGTGTTACCCATGTTGATGGAGTCTCAGATATGTTGCCTGCCTATCAGCTCTGAAAAGGAACAGTGGCTTCTGCAAGCATTTCTGTCTGGTGGAAAGCTAACCCCCAGCTCGCACCCTGATGCCAGACAATTCATTTCCTCCCAATATGTCTCTGGTGTCTTTCAAGCTGCTTCTCTCATGCTGGAGCTCAGAGGCAGTGAGTCAGAGTTATTCAATGCAGGGGCCCTTTAAGAGGAACTACCTGGGACTCTAGAAGCCCTCCATTTCCCTCAGCCTCAATCCCCGCTTGTTTTTATAGTCAGAAGTTATGGGGACTTCTCTACCTGGCACTGGAACCCTGGGCTGAGGGGCTTGATGTGCAGCTGAGACCCCTTTCTTTTCATGGGGGACCTCCACAGCCTGGGTATCCTGTCAATTTTTAGCCGCCACATATGGGTGTGGGACCAGCCCGTTCCACATCTTCTCCCTTCCTACCAGTCTTGATGTGTCTTCTTTAATTCCCTACTGTAGGACTTTTGTTCAGCTTGATTTCAGGTGGTTCTGAATCATGGTTGTTCTGTAGTTTAGTTGTTTTTTTGATGCGGTTGCTGGAGGAGGTGAGTACTGTGTTTATCTACGTTGCCATCTTGACTGGAAGTCCCAATCATAGTATATGTTTAAGTATACTTATATTTTGAGGCATTCAGTGCTCAAACATACCAGTGTACTGTCATATAAAAGCTATGTGATATAACCCCTGTTGTTTTATTTTTTGAATTGATATATTTAGTTATAAAATTAATAAAACTGCATTACAAAGTTTGGAAGATAGGAAGAAAATTATGTACCTAAATCCCAGTAGCCTGATACAGCCACTTTCACCATTTTATTATCTTTTTTCCTAGACTTTTCATATACTTCTGATTTCCATAGCTGTAACTCTGATGTATAAATAATATTGTATTATGCATTTTATTTTAGTATTTTGTAATAATTAGTATCTAATACATTATTGTCCGATGGTAGAGCGAAGATGTAATAATGGCCTCTATAAAGAGAAGGTATTTTCAGACTGAAAGATGAAGCAGGCAATTCCATAGAATATAACAGAACTTATTATTGGGTCATTTACTTATGGGAAGATTGGGTTGGAGTGGACAGATGGCTCAGCAGTTTTGCACAAATTATTCTCCGCTACCAGACCCCTGTTACAGTACCTATTTAATAGTATAACTTGAGTACTAATGATTGACAAACTAGAGGAACAAAGAATGCAATAGCTCCATGGACCCTACTTGCTGGTGGTCTTATGATAAATGATTGCTAATAATGAGTGCTATTACATTTGATATATATCTTGGTTTTCATGCTGTTATGCTGTTGCTATCAAAAATATTTATGGCTACATTTTAAGGAACAGATAATCCTCAGCTAGAAAACTTTGATATACTTAGTAAACATAGTGAAGTTTATCAGAGATCACAGCATGAAAACTTAAAAATGAAATGAAGTCTGGGACACAACTGGAGTTAGTTTTGTTCACATTTACATAATCTATAAAATTGTCTAAGAAATGCTTGTTGAATGAATAAGCTTTATATAATAATTTTTTCACTTTTTTTGTAACCATAAATTTTACTATCTATATGATAGTTCATGAAATAGATACAGCATAATTTATTTAACCATTTCCCTATAATTGGACATTTTGTAGTTTTAAAAAAAGGTTTTTTTAATTAATAGTGCTGTAATTAATATTTCATGAATACAACCCTGCTCCCATATTTACTTACATAGGTATTTATGTGGGCTAGAATCATAGAAGTAGATATATTGAATTTAGAGGTATGAAAATTTTCATGGTTCTTGATACATACTGCTTTTCATAAGGATTATGTCTATTTATAGTGTTATTAATGACAAATGTGAGCGATTTCATCTTTAAATAGAGTTTTGTTGTATGTGTAACTCTTTTTTTTTGTCCTGGGTTTTTTTCAGATTCTTGTCTTTTACTTTTTACGATGTCTTCTGGCTTTTGTGAGCTGCATCTGTGAACTTTACTTTTACAAGTGAGTATAAAAGCTTTGCTTCTGAAAGTGCTATGGGGAAACCAAATATAGCATAGATTATTTTTCCAATAGTGTTAAAAGTAGAGAACACTTTCCTTTTGGCTCCTAATAGTAAACCTAAAATGTGATTTCTTGTTTGAAACAAACTGTTGGAGGGGAATACTTCTAATTATCACTTTTTTCCCTAAGGTTCATGAAGACTCTATCTTCATATTGTTAATTTTAATTCTGTTAATACATATCTAACTAGTCTTCTATTTGGTAGGATTTAGTAGAGCCTTATTTTGGGTACTAAGATATATAGGATCATGATTTACCTCTTCCCCTTAAGTTTAATTGATAGGAATTTACCGTGTAGGACTCAACTTCTCTTATTTGCACCCAATAAAAGTATTTCACCAAATACATATTGGTTGATTGAATATTAGTGGAAGTATTAAATATTTCAGTGTTCCACTAATAAAAATAGCTACCTTTTTCTTTTTACATGAAACCTAGCAAACATCTTATTTTGATAATGCTATAAAAGGTATTTGGTCTTAATAATAATTATTAAAAATCTCCCACTGCTAAGTGGTTAAAAATGTCAGATAGCTCTAGCTGGTGTGGCTCAGTAGATTGAGCACTGGCCTGTGAATTGAAAGGTCTCTGGTATAAATTCCTGGTCATGACACATGCCTGGGTTGCAGGCCAAGTCCACAATTGGGGGTGTGCAAGAAGCAACTGATCGATGTTTCTCTCACACATCTTTCCCACTCTTTCTCCCTCCCTTCCCTTCTCTCTAAAAATAAATAAAGGTACAATTTTTTTAAAAAGTCCGGTAAAAAAAAAATTTGGCCATGGCTTGGGGTGGAATACAGGAGAAAAAAGAAAGCCAATTCTGTCTTTGAGGATATAACTGTAAGTTGGTCTTCATATTGGTTCAGGACTGAATTTAAATCACCCTCATGATTCCTAGCCCCCAAGTTGAGAATGTGTTTTAAATTGTTCTGGGCCGTAGGCCAGTACAAAAATAAATGTAAAATTTCCTTATGTTTTATTTTTTATTTTATTTATTTACTTATTTTAATTATATTTCAGTGATTATGCTATTAGAGTTGTCCCAGTTTTTCCTCTTGTGCCCCCTTCCACCCAGCAACCCCACTTCCTCGGGCAATCCCCACACCATTGTTCGTATCCATGAGTCATACATACAAGTTCTTTGGCTACTCCATTTCCTACACTGTACTTTACATCCCCATGGATATTCTGTAGTTACTTATTTGTACTTCTTGATCCCCTCACCTCTTCACCCATTCCCCACATCTCCCCTCCCATCTGGTTTATTTCAGCCGACAAAATGCTCTTTGTATTTATGATTCTGTCTCTGTTCTTCTTGTTTGCTTAGTTTTTTTTTTTAGAATAAATTGTTGATAGATATGTATTTATTGCCATTTTTTAATTCATAGTTTTGATCTTCTTTAAAATAAGTCCCTTTAACATTTCATATAATAATTGTTTGGTGATGATGAACTCCTTCAGTTCTTTCTTGTCTGAAAAGCTCTTTGTCAGCCATTCGATTCTAAATGATAACTTTGTTGAGTAGAACCGTCTTGACTGTAGGTCCCTGATTTTCATGACTTCAAATGTTTCTTGCCAGTCCCTTCTAGGCTGCAAAGTTTCTTTTGAGAATTCAGCTGACAGTCTTATGGGAACTCCCTTGTAGATAACTGCTTTTCTCTTGCTGCATTGAAGATTCTCTCTTTGTCTTTAACCTTTGCCATTTTAATTATGATGTGTCTTAGAGTGGGCCTCTTGGCATCTGTCTTGTTTGGGTCTCTGTGTGCTTCCTGGACTTGCACGTCTATTTCCTTCACCAAATTAGGGAAGTTTTCTTTCATTACTTTTTCAAATGGATATCCAAATCTTGCTCTTTCTCTTCTCCTTCTGGCACCCCTATGATGCAAATGTTGGAACATTAGAAGTTGATCCAGAGACTACTTACATGATCCTTGTTTTTTTGGATTCTTTTTTTCTTTTGCTTTGATTGGTTGTTTTTTGCATCCTAATGTTCCAAATCATTGATTTGATTCTTTGCTTCACCCACTCTACTGTTATTTCGCTGTGGATTGTTATTTCATTAATGTATCTTTCATTCTAACTGGATCTTTGTTTATGCTGTTGAGGTTTTCACTAACTACATTGAGCATCCTTATAACTAGTGTTTTGAACTCTGCATCTGATAGATTGCTTATCTCCATTTTGTTTAGTTCTTTTTCTGGAGTTTTGATCTGTTCTTTCATTTGGGCCATGTTCATTTGTCTCCTCAGTTTGGCAGCCTCCCTGCATTTGTTTCTATGTATTAGGTAGAGTTGCTGTGACTCTCTGTCTTGGTAGCCTGGCCTAATGTAGTAAGTGTCCTGTAGGGTCCAGTGGCACAGCCTCTGCTATCACACAAGCTGGACACTCGAGGTGTGCCCTTTGTGTGGATTGAGTACACTGTCCTCTTGTAGTTAAGCCTTGGTTCCTGTTGGCAGTCAATGGGAGAGATTTACCTAGACCAGTCAGTTGCAAGGACTGGCTCTGTCCATTGACCACCAACCTCTGCCCTCCATGGAGGATCAGCTATGCAGGGGCCGAGTGCTAGTACTCTGATGTAGTCTGTAGCAGTCCACTGGGTGCACAGCCTCAAAGGTTTCCTGGGTGGTGCAGGCCAAGGTCAGACATTTCTCCAAGAATCTGTGTTCTGCCAGGGGCCACCCTGTATGAGCTATAAAGCAATCTGAGATGACTGCTATTTGTGCTGGGTTTGGAGGTTTCCAGCCGAAGCCAAATTGTGAATCGAGGCTGGCTGCTGCTAATGCTAAGTCTGGGGCCACTTAGCAAGAGGTACAAGGGCGCATGGAAGCTCACCGAGGCCAGCTGTTGCTTGTTTGAGAGTATTTAGGAAGTTGTGAAGCATGAGCCTAGACCAGCCATTCATATGGAAAGGTCACTTATAACAGCTTGGGTGGGCCCATAAGTTGAGTGGGAAGGAGTCTTGGGGGATCTCCAGGATGGGGCAAACAGTGTTAGCCAGGATGTTGTAGTCTCAGATATGCTACCAACTTTCTGGCTTTGTAGGGGAGGGTTTAAAAAAGGGACAATGACCTCTGCCTTCCCTTCTGTCTGTGAGAAAGCTGTCCCCCAGCTCTCGCCTTGATGCCAGACACTTGAGTTCCTCTTTGTATGCCACTGGTGCCTTTCAAGCTATTACCCTGTTGCTGGAGCTCAGAGGAAGTGATTCTGAGAAAGTCTGTATGTGGGTTCTTTAAGAAATACTGCTTGGGACTCCAGAAGTTTGTTCCACTGACTCAGTCCCCACTGGTTTTTCAACCAGAAGTTATGGGGACTTATCTTCCTGGCACTGGAACCCTGGGCTGGGAGTCCTGGTGTGGGGCTGTTACTCCTTGCTCCTGAGATATCCCTCCTGAATTTTTATCCATCACATGTGTGTGTGGGACCCGCCCATTCTCCATCTCTGCCCCTTCTACCAGTCTGGATGGATGTGGATTCTTTAATTCTGTAGTTGTCAGATTTCCATTCGACTTGATTTTTCATGGTTCTGAGTGATGGTTGTTCTATACTTTAGTTGTAATTTTGATGTGGTTTTGTGTTTACCTATGCTGCCATCTCAATCAGAACTTCTAAAATGTTTTTAGAGGAGAGAATTCTTAACCCAGGTGTCAAAGAATTATCATAGGATGAGTTTTAATGAACAAGAAATTACAATAAAAATAAATTACAGAGTACAAAAGGGAACAACACATTATGACTGAGAGCCAGCATACATAACAACAGAAAGCTTGCCTATAAAACTTCATTTATTAGGAATTATTAAAGTATGAATGTCAAATAAGTATAATTGATACTTTTAAAGAAATAAAAGAGGGAATTGAAAATATGGATCAGCAACAAGAGACTAATCAATCAGTAGAGTGAAAAGGAACTTACAAAGCAGGGAAAAAAATTATAATTGTAAACCATATAACTGATAAGAGCTTCATTTCCAAAATATGTAATAAACTCCTACAACTCAATAGCAAAAACACTAATAATCTTATTATATAATAGATTAAGTACTTGAACAGACATTTCTCCAAAGAAGACAAACAAATGGCCAACAGATACATGAAAACGCAATCAATGTCACTAGTCATCAGGGAAATACAGTAAGATCACTTCATACCTGTTACAATGACTATTAACATAGTCATTGTTATTGGAGTGCAAGATGGCGGAGGAGTGAATGGAAGTCACACTGACCTCTTCCCAGGACCAATCAGGAATTACAACTAAGTTGTGGAGAAATCACCTGGAACAATCAACTGAAGAATAGCTAGAGAGGAGACATATAACTTCCTCAGACAGACAGAAGAATCAGCTTTAGCACAACCTGACTGGTAAGGCGTGCAGTAGAGACTTGAGAAGGAGGGCTGGGTGTCCACGGGTGGCAGTGTCAAAGAGATATTTTAACAACAAATTGGATCCCCCTGAGAATGGGGTCTAAATGATAGGTGGGGATCCCCAGCCTACAGCACCAGAGCCCCAAAAATACACAGATAGCAACCAGTTGCAAAAACGTGGCAAGGTTGCTCTCTGCCAGAGACGGGTGGCTGGAGATGCAAAGAGCTGTTTAAAGGGCCAATGCATAAATTTTTATTTGCAGCCACTTACACTGAGCTCCAGAAAAGGAGGGGGTGGAGTGGGCTAGAAACACCTGAGGAGGACTGGGGAAGGAGGCTTTGGGGAAAGAACTGAGAAAGTGGCTGCCAGGGTCCCAGTGCTGACTCATCCTCCATTTGGCAGTTGGATCTTGCCCAGGCAGACCACTTCCCTGAGCGGCAGCATGAGAGGAGACAATAGCCCCGCCCCCAGGAGGTTCTGCCCCAGTGGCAGTGGTGCACAAGCCTAACTGCTGAGTACAGAGTGGCAGTCACAGATAATAGATCCCTGGTTAAAGGGGGTGCAGAGTGGTCTAG